CGTTCATCATCTCCCAAAGGTAAGGAAGAAGAAGAGGGGGGCGGGTTCATGGACCAAATTACTTTTGAACCGACGTTTCGAAAACCTTCTTGCTTTCATCGTCAGAGTTTTGTGGTAGTTAAGACTGGTGGTCTTGAGTAAGTCCGCCTTGCCGTCTGCCTCAAATTATATCGGTATTGGACGTGTGAACTTTGACCTGCCCGTTCGTTGCGGACCCCATTTGGTCTCCCGGAGGTTGAATGCTGGTGGGCTGGCGTGACCTTGATCCCCTCTGCAGTCAGCGTAGTTGTAGGCGAGTCAATATGCTTGCTATCATCCCCCACGTCACCCGGCGGACTGATCACTCGTTGCTGTTCACTTGGGTTGGTCTTTGCCTCGCGGTTGCGACGTTGAGACAGTGTTTAATGTTGGTCGCGTAACCTCCGACCTCCACCCCTAATTTCCGTGGGCGTTGGTTCTCGGTCCTGCGTACTCGTTTGCCCTACTGGCTCTGACCGATTTGATCCGAGCCTTGTGCGAAGCACTTGTTAGGCAAGGTTCAGGTCGATAGCTCTGTTGATTGTGCCAGTGGAGGACCAAATTTCCAGCACTAGCCTGGCCACTTTCTCATTGGCCCTGCCGATCACCCTCGCTTTCTCAAAGGCGAATTTGCGGTTAATCTGCTGCACATGGCCATAGACTAAAGACAACTTGTCCTTGCGATTGATTGCAAGTTGTTGTTCGTGCAATCTTGTGCCCAGGCGTCTGCCAGTCTCTCCAAAATACCTCGCCTCGCAGTTTTTGCATGGTAGGCTGTAGACTACGACTGATTGCTCGGTTGCTGGCAGCGGGTCCTTGAGCTTCATGATTTTTTGTCTGATTGTGAAATCCGGTCTATGCTCCACTCCAATCCCAAAGGGTTCTAGGATTCGTGCAGTCGTGCAGCAAGCATATTGACTCGCCTACAACTACGCTGACCGCAGAGGGGATCAAGGTCACGCCAGCCCACCAGCATTTAACCTCCGGGAGACCAAATGGGGTCCGCAACGAACGGGAATGTCAAAGTTCACACGTCCAACACCGATATAATTTGAGGCAGACGGCAAGGCG